GTGGCGCTGTAGCTCAAGTGGTAGAGCGCTCGCCTTGAGCTGAAGAGCTGAGGGACAGCGCCCAGGCCCAGAGTTCAAGTCCCACAACCGACAAAAAAAAAAAGATACATAAATTTGATGGGAGGTGTGCAAAGCAATAGGAACAGAGATTTTTCCTAAACTGATTCCATATTAGATTTAGAGAAATTAATTTAACAGAGAGTTGCAGTCTCCTCAACTCTTTATTCCATCTTCAAAATTTCTGCACTTAGCAATGTTAGACCATTTGTTAATCCAGAGAAGAACCAACAGAGTAAGTTATAGGAAGGATACAAGGGTAATGTCTGTATTATAAAACAATTTAGTATAGCTTCCTCACATATAGCTCTGTGTTCCAGAAAACATATGCTAGTCCTGAATCTGAAATAATTAGGGAGGAAAGAACACTGAACACTCAAGCATGTGTTTCAGAGGGAACTATGATAAAATTTAGCAAATATTTTAATTTTGAATACATTCAAGTTTTCTAAGTTAAATGGAATACCTCATAGGCTAAAGCTTTCTTACTCATCTTCCAACTCCTTATGAATCTCTCCCTTCAAAATCATTTAAATAAAAAAATATTTCAATAAAATTTTTTATTCTTTAGATTAATGGATATGAATGTCTCATTAGAGGCTGTTAACTCCTAGAACTTGGGAGTATGTTGTATTTCTGTGCCACATTTTATAAATTTATTTTTAACTTACTATTGGTCATATGAATGTTATTACAAACTATTCACTGATATTTATTACTTTATCATCTCAACTAACCCTTAAAAGTTAGAAACTACACAAGCCCAATCACCCTGGAGATTGTAACACCCTCACATACAGGAGTCTCACTGAATGATTGGGTAGTATCATGCCTTTGACTGACAATGTCCTTGGTTTTTTGTTTGTTTGTTTGTTTCTTTTTTTAGCAGATCAAGTTGCATTTTAACTTTTAGATTGTGAGCTATGCAAACTTTGCCCCAAACTACCTTACAGAATCTCCTTCTGACTAATACTCATTGTTTAGGTAAATCTGACAAATACTTTTGAGCTAATTACACAGAAGTCATTATTAAAAGAAGACTTTTCTCACAGGGCACCCTAAAGGTGGTAGTACTTACAAATTGTGCCTCTTCTATTAGTTCATAGTTTATGTTTGACTTATTCTGTCCCTCTGCTGATTTATGGTCTTACGTGTCAAGAAAGTTTTCTGATTAATTATTCTCCCTCAATTCAGTTTAAATGTTTTTCTTACCAGTAGGTCATCTTTCTCAACATTGTTACTGTGTAATATATTTCAGGCTTCTCAATTAACTTCTAAATCTGTTTATCAGAAAATCTTTCAGATCATTTGCCTTTTCTTCTTAGTCCTATTTTAATGACTCTATTTGTATTTAAGAGCACATAAAATTATATTCTATGTTATATTCAAATTGCACCAGTTAAGTAGGAGTTCAATAGTTTGATAGAATTAAGATGGTACCACTTGACATTGGATTCAGCCATCAGCACTTAATTTTTGTATTATCTAACATTTTCTATTAAATTGTGGAGTTTTATGATTTTATATTTTCATTAGTTAAAACTAAAAATCCATGTATACCTGATTATTTCACCATTAAAACTTTTAACATGCATTGCAGTAAGCTTAGTGCTATGATTGAGCCACAATGTTTTACATATTTCTTTGTATCAAATATCGTATTAAACATTTAATGCAAATTTAACTTTCAAAAGCAAACCCTACAAAAATCAGGTATTATCTGTGAACATTTTTGTAGACCACTTTTGAAATACTTACTATTGTTTTTCGACATAGACTGGACTAAATTTCATTTAACTTTTAAGTGATTAAAGTTGGGTATTTGCATATAAAGAAAAATCTAAAAATTCATCTCAAGGTAGATACATTTGAAAGTAAGTACTTCAGAGTTTATGCTGTGTATTAAAATTATGCCCCAAATAAACCTGTTATGTCTTTAAAATTCCAGTTCTGTTATTACTGTGATGTTTGTAGTGTTACTAATGAATATTGTGAACATACATATTCATTTTTAAACAACTTGAAACCCACATTAGAATCTGGGCCAGAGAGAATAATTGTTTAGAATTAAATTACCTCACTAGGGTGTCCAGTTTGTGATTAAATTTTTAAGAAAATTCGTGTATTTGGAATTTACAACTTGGCTTCAGTTTAAAACAACACTTTCCATTTTATTTATACTTTTAAATTTCAGAAACATCTTTATGCTTTAGACTCACTAGACATAATATTACTTAAAAACTCAGGGTCCTTTTCATCCCTTGTACACTGAAGGCATTCAGTTGGTACCAAATAGGCAGTTAGATCCAGTTAAGTATTTAAAGTGGTTGTTTTATCTAGAGTTTCATCTTATTATAAGATTTAGTTAAAATCGACATAATATCTGACTTCATCGATCATAAAAACTTACCCAGTTCTGTAATTACTCAAAAGAAAGAATGACTCAAACTACTTGACTACGTTATAGCAAATTTAAGCCTTAAAGTTGAAGCACAGGCTTAAAACCTTCCTGTTCTTTGGTTAAATGACTTCATGATGGGAAGAAGTGTTTCATTTGGTTTTGTTTTTTCAATAACAGACTGAATAAAGTAAAGTCTTCCAAGAGAATTTTTGAGAGGTAATTTAACATTGTAAAACATCTTTTTCTAAAAGTAAACTAATGAGTTTAATCCTTTGTAACAGCTTGGGTGGTTTTGAGAAGGTAAACTGTGGCAACCTCCCTATCACATCGTCAATGTGAGCAGTGGTTCTTGGAATAGATAGTTCAGTCCCTAAATCAGTATGCTGTGTATTTGAATCTTAGTGGTAAAGATATTTGTCATCAGTCTCAGGCTCTGCACCTTGTTACCAATCCTCTTAACCATATTTTAAACACACACACACACACACACACACACATACACACACACACTTAAAAAAAAAGAAGTTTAACAGAAAACTAAAAGATGCAATTCAAAGATAGGATTTGGTTTAACTTTGAATTGCTTGACTTCTGTGACTTTTTTTCTGATCACATTTATTTATTTAAGCAATTTTTGTATGCCTTGTTATTTTGTTTCCATACAAGTTATATTGTGTAAATGTTTGTGTAAGCTGGAATCATCCTGAGTTTTTGGTTGATGATTTTTCAGTGAAAATACATGAATAATTGTAAAATACACTATTAGGGTGTTGTAGTTGAAACATGGAGATGTGTAGCTGCTGTGCTTTTTCTAAATGGGCAGGAGAAACATAAGCTACAAAGTATTCATTTCTGAGGATGGTTTTCTGGAAAATAGCTGAAAAATATAGCACTTCCTCAGAACCTTCTTTCTTGTTAACGGGTATCTTTTGTTGGTGTGTTTTCCTCTCACCTTACAGACAAAAAATCATATATGAATTTATGAATAATTACTTTTAGTTACTTTGCTTTTGTATAAGCTGTCTGAGACCTTGCTATGCTGTATAAGTTGTGTTTGATGGATCAGTGTGAGTATGAAATAAAGCAGATCTTTTTTCTTTTGTATTATCTATGGATGCCACTATGAAAGCTGACATTAAGCCACTAAAGAGTTTTCTATGAATAAGTGTAAGTAAATGCTTTGATATATATAAACCTAAATAAAAAGATTGTATTAAGACAGAGTCATTGAAGAAGGAGATTTTAAGGCAGTTCTTTAGGTTTAAAAAGGCTTGCTGTAAAATGGTGCATTATTCCATTTATTAAAGATCATATTAATGACAACAGCAGTTGTAGTTTTTTTTTTATTTCATGAGCTCTCCAGAACTCGTTATTGCCAGCATAACTTTATAGCTTAGTATAATACATCAAAAAAATCAGAAGAATTGCTATGTTCTGGCCATCTTCAATATACTAGGCCCTGTTAGTTATTTCATATACCTACTTAATAATTTTCACAACAACCTTACAAAATATGTATTATTGTCTTTCATTTATAAACAAAGAAATAAAAGGTCAAAAACAAATACGCTGTCCAATGCCACAGAGCTGGAGTGATGAGACCTTAGTGCACTCTCCGTTTTGCTTTAAACTACAGCTTCAAGCTTTGTTTGTGACAAAAAAATCAAAAAATACAAGTGGCTTAGTAGTTAGAGTACTTAGAAACATGTATGAAGTAACTTCAGGGTGCCCAAAAGAGTACTCAACTATTTTCTGTCTTTTGTTCCTTTTTTCTTTCCTTCCTTCTTTCTTTTTCTTTTGTGCCACTACTGAATCTTGAACTCAGCCACTCCTGTAGCTTTTTCTTTTTTGGGGGGGGGGGATCCAGTCGTGGGGCCTGAACTCTGGGCCTGGGTGCTGTCCCTCAGCTCTTCAGCTCAAGGCTAGCGCTCTACCACTTGAGCCAC